GGGGGGAACTTTATACAAAAACTTGAGACAAAAGATTTTCATGTCGTTTCTTTCACTCAGTTCCTATGGCTGCGGCACCTGCCGTAGTGCAGGCAGCGGCCCCTTCATCTCTAACCCTGCAACCACGCTGGAAACGTGTAGTTGGTTGCTCTGGCCCTGTACCCCGGCCTCGACATGGTCATCGAGCTGCATGTATTAAAGAACTTATCGTAGTTTTCGGTGGTGGCAACGAAGGCATCGTGGATGAACTACATGTATATAACACAGGTACGTAGAATGTTTATCACTCCTTTACAGCCATTTTGCAGGTCACGTATAAGCCCCAAATACAATTCCCTCCCAAAAGCTTTCAGATTTATTCAAAACCGGAAAGCATAAACCTAATTTTTCTCAGAACGTTTCATATTTTTTCTACCCCTTCTTTTAATTCTTTTAATTTATCAATGAATTTGCTTGAACTCCACAAACAAAAATTTGCCCCTTTTCCCATAACTCATTAATAATTTAATACTTATTAAAAATCACACTCCTTTATGTCAGGTGAAAATGATAAAATAACATTTTTATACAGTTTGATCTTAACAAAAAATATGGAAATTACACAATTTGAAAATAAAAAAAATTCTGTACCCCATAAATTAAGATTCATTAATATTATTCAGTTGTTGAAATTTAATTATAATGCCTTAAAATTAATTTTAATAAACTTTTGTATGATATTATTAAGTTTGATGAAGATTAATTAATAAAAAATTAGAATTGAAAGTAAGTTTCAAAAGTACCAAAATAACTGGCTCCAAGTCCAAATCAGATTAGGTGATAAGTAAGTCTTTTTAAAGATTCAAAGTATATGCATTTGTTATAAAAAAACAATCACATCTCCCAACAAGTATTTATTGAAAGCCTGCAGTGTGCTGGACACTATGTTAAGCACTGGGGATACCAACAACTGAAAAATTCACATATTATATACAATAACAGCTCCTTGTCTTGCACAGTATGTACAAATCTAGAGAAAGGAAAAGACTACAGGATCACAAAAAACGTAAGGTATGGGTGTGCACGTGTCAGTGTTTGTGTATAGTATGTACCTCAAATACCTGGTGGATTATTTCTTAGTGTTACAGAGAATATACAGTTTAATAACTTTGAGGCATGATTCTAGTTTTTTTTTTCCATGAATGTAAAAGTTGTAGTATATTAGAATGAAAATGTATGAAAGTTCTAACAAAGCATTTGTGTGCTGGCTTGTTTGTGTAGAGATTTAGTTAAACCCATAGGAGCTGATAAACTTGCCAAAAGTATAGAATAAAAAGAATAATTATCATTTAGTATAGTACTGACTCTAGGTGCCATGCATTGAGCTAAGCACTTTACCATTATTATTTCATTTGATCCTCACAACAAGCATGGGAAACAGGTGCTATTATTATCCCCATTTTACAGATGAAGAAACTGGTGCAAAAAAGTGAGTTGCCCAGGTCGTCCTGACTTCAGGCCCAGTGCCACCCAGCAATCTCAGAGAGCGTATAGAATTTGAGGCTATAGTACAAATGAATCAGTAGCAGAGACAGAGGAATAGTCAGAAAAGATAGGAGTAAAACCTAGTTGTTGTTTTTTTTTAAGGAATTCCAGTCTCTCTTATTTTATTTTTTAATTTCATTTTTTTGATTGGGCAGTGGGGGTTAAGTGACTTGCCCAGGGTCACACAGCTAGTAAGTGTTATGTGTCTGAGGCCATATTTGAACTCAGGTCCTCTTGAATCCAGGGCTGGCGCTCCATCCACTGTGCCACCTTGCTGACCCCCAGACCTAGTATATTTAGAAAAAAGGGGTAGGTAGCAGTATTTCATAAGTTGAAAAGTGCAAAACTGAAGAAAAACTGTAGTCTCTGCAAAGGAAGCACGGAGGGAAGGGAATGTAAATTTCTCGGTAAGGAGAGAAACTATCAAGTAATTTTGAGATGAATAGAGTTAGATAAGAGAGCTTATATTGAATGGCTTGAATTTTCTCAGTAAAGTAAGTGGGGAAGTGCTCAAATGAGACAGTGAAGGCAGAGGGTTATATGGGAGGCTTAGTGAGAGGAAAAAGTTTGGAATACCTTCTGTAGAGTGTGAGATTTAGAGAATAAATTAGAGAAAAATAAAAAGACTACCTTGTTGCATTTAAGGTAGTATAATAGGTAATATATACAATCACCATAAGTTGTGAGACTTAATCTAATCATTAGCTGTGAATAGGGATGGGGGAGACATATAGTAAAAGTAATTCCTTGGGCTCTGTATACTTTGGTTACCAAAAAGAGTATTGACTTAAAGACTCCAGTGATAGACTTAGTAGGAGTTAGGGTGTGGGGCTGAATAAGAGAAAATACTTTAATTCTAGGGAGGATTCTCAGTATTGTAGTGCAATGTGTTTTCTTAGATTGCCAGTGACTTAATAACCATAGAGACAAGAAGAACAGGAGAAATCAGTTATAACTATTATTTATATCAACTAATTCAGACTAGAAGCAGGTAATATTCTGTGAAGGAAATGGGGTATAGAAAGTATCACCTGAAACTTATAGATAGGTACTTTGGATTGTTTGGTAAACAAGATTATGCAGATGGAATAGTTTTAGTGTTTTGATAACAGAAGCCACAGTAGTCATAAGAGTAAAAGTTGTGGAAAGGTCAGTGACACCAGCTTCCTGGCTGTTCCCATGAAAAAGCCCTCATTGCTCAGCTGTGAGCATTTCTCTTTCCAATTTATAATTCCCATTTAATTTCTTATGCTGACCATCAACATATAGAAACTTCAGTGTGGAAAGTCATGATGTAGAAGGGATAACTGTAATGTTAGATATTGCTCTTGTCCCAGTAGCTTTTGACCACTGTTTTCTTTTGCTTTTTAGCAACCAATCAATGGTTTATCCCTGCTGTTCGAGGAGACATTCCTCCAGGCTGTGCAGCCTATGGCTTTGTCTGTGATGGAACTCGCCTTTTGGTCTTTGGTGGGATGGTGGAGTATGGAAAGTATAGCAGTGATCTCTATGAATTACAGGTAATACATTTGTTTTATAGCACCAACTCTTTCTCATATGTAGTATGGAATAGGCATTGTTTTATCTTAAAGCAAAGCAGGTTATAACCTGCCTACCCCTAAGACTAAGAACTTTACTTAACCTGTCAGAATTTTTATACTTTTTTCTTGTTGAGTTTTGTTGTTTTTTGCTTGGCAGTGGGGTGAAGTGACTTGCTCAAGGTCACACAACCAGTGTCAAGTGTCTGAGGCCAGATTTGAATTCAGGTCTTCCTGAATACAGGGCCAGTGCTCTATCCATGTGCCATCTAGCTGCCCCTATGCTAACTTCTTGATGATTGAAAAAGATTAGAATGAAGAGAATTAGATTTTAGTATGTGCAAATCAAGTTGTTTTCCTTTGGAGAAGATGTGGAAAAAATGCCTTATCTACCCAGATTAGGAATTTGGTTTACCCTGTGAGACACCATCCCACATGTGACTTTTTTTGCTTTGGCATTTACTTTAGGGAGTTAATTGATATTTTTTGCTTTTTTGATATAGGCAAGCAAGTGGGAATGGAAAAGGCTCAAAGAGAAAACACCTAAGAATGGACCTCCTCCCTGTCCCCGGCTAGGACATAGCTTCTCTCTTGTGGGAAACAAGTGTTACCTCTTTGGGGGTCTGGCCAATGACAGTGAAGATCCCAAGAATAACATTCCAAGGTCAGGTGACATTATTCAGTATAGAATACTTCTGGAATACCATTAGGTCTTCTCAAATAATTTGAACTCTTAAATCACAGTATCTTAGAGATATTGTGATATTTTTGGGGACAGCTAAATTGATTATATGACTATGGGATAAATTGTAGTTAAGATAGTTAACACTCTTAATGTTTTAAATTCTGTAATGCAATTTGGTACCTTAAGCTTGGGTATATAGGCATATATTTTATATTCTAAGGAAAGAATAGAGTTAGCTCTTTTTATATTCAACTTCAATTTCAGAATTCTATGGATTTTCTAGTATATGTACTTCCTTGTTTATGGGTGGGGTTGAATAGACTGTGTTCAATAGCAGAGAACTTATTAACCAGGAACACAAACCTCATTTTGACATGAAGCTTTGTTTATTCTCTGTACTGGTCCTTAGTGATTTATGAAACATCTAGAATTCAGATCCATTTCATATCATTGATCAACTCATCATTGGAACTTGACATGTCCCTTTGTTTTTCTCTCTTTCCCATCCATTCTTTTTTTTTTGTTTTAGGTATCTGAATGATCTCTACATCCCAGAGTTATGTCCAGGTTCAGGTGTGGTGGCTTGGGATATTCCTGTTACCTATGGAATCTTGCCCCCACCCAGAGAGTCCCACACAGCTGTAGTTTACACAGAAAACGACAAGAAGAAATCCAAGCTGGTGATTTATGGGGGAATGAGTGGCTGCAGGCTGGGTGATCTCTGGACCTTAGATATTGGTAAGGTGCTTAAGAATGGAACAGTATGTAAGTTGACTAAAGTATTCTATATAGAGGCTGCCATCTGGGACTCTTGGAACTTACTGAGTGAGGCTTACACTGGAAGTGTGTTATCTCAGTTGTGCTTTTCAAACAGTTGTTGACAAAGTGAGAGTACTGGGCTTGGCATCAGGGGCACTCCTCTTTCTGAGTTCAAATATAGCCTCAGACACTTGACACTGGCTGTGTGACCCTCGGGCAAGTCATTTAACCATTTACCTCAGATTCCCCATCTGTAGAAAATGAGCTGGAGAAGAAAATGGCAAACCGTTCCAAGTATCTCTGCAAAGAAAATGGGGTTACAAAGAGTCAGACCCAAGTGACATGACTGAACAAGAAGGAATATTTATAGCATGGGTAATCTGCTTCTGGACAACAACAACTGGTTCAGAATCTCTTCAAAAAGGAAAACCCAGGTAAAGAAAAGAAGAATGTGTACCAGAAAACCCAACTAGGATGCTTCTGATCAAAGCCAGGGGCACCAAGCTGGGCTCTAGCAGACACCCCTAGTATCTAACCACATAGATGTAGATCCAAGAAATTCCTTTTGATTTTCTGGAAAGCAGGAGGTGGACCAGAATCTCTCCTCACGTGGGCCCAGGTGAAGAAAAGAGGAGTCTGGAACTAATAATCTGCCCAGGGGATGGTCATTCACAGGAAGGGGGCCTAGAGTGGCCTCTAATCCAGATTCCCTATCATCTATCCACCAACAGTCTATTGATCTGAGAAATTCCAGAAGGATATCCAAAAGCATATCAAGAACTAGACCAAAATGCTCCAAAAGGATACCCCTGGAAAAGGAAAGTGAATAGACAACAAAAAACCACCTAGAATTCCATCCCTCACAGTAGGAAGGCTGAGGATAGGCTCTAGCAGAGAACACAGAAATCTATCTGGAGACTTCACTCCATCCTAAGATCAATGCATTCTACACATGGAAAACAGGAAGTGTACGTGAATGGCCTGATATCGAGACCCAGGCAAAGAGAAGTGGAATGTGTAACATAAAATCCAGCCATGGAAAATCATTCACAGCAGGGCAGCGAAACGTGGCCTCTAGTAACGATCCCCTACAGTCATTCCATAGAGAATTGCCGCAATTGGAGAGGCCCGAAACTGGGCTCCAACACAAATCTTGTTGTCCCATGTTGTCCCATGAAAATACTTGTGTGTACACAGAAAGCTGAAGGTCAACCACAATCATGTGAAATGGAAACCCAAGGAACGATAAGAAGAATCTGCCTCATAGAAAGCACCTATGGGCATAGCATTCTCAGCAAGGGGCCCAAGCCTCGACTCCACTATAGACTTCCTAAAATAGATGCTTGAGCAACCCGGGGATATCATACAGTCTCATGGTTCAGAGCGACACTAGAATTCCCCAACAGAAAGCCCTAGGTCAAGAAAGGTCAATGGACAACAGGAAATCCACCCAGGATGGCATGAATCACAGTAGAGGGTCTGGAGCTAGGTTGTAACAGAGACCCCAGAAATCTCTCTTCAGACTGCATGTGGTCCCAAGACAATTCTCATGTCTCCATGAAGAGCAGGAAGTGGACCACAATCTCCTGAAACAGAGTTCAAGAAAAGAGGAATTTGGGATTCAAAAAGAAGACAATCTAGGGAACAGTCATTCACAGCATTAAGGCGTAAACTGGCCTAGAGTAAAGATCTCCTCCAATCTATCCACACACGGGTTGTGGAACTTAGGCCCTTGACCAAGAGGGACAACAGGAACTGGACCACAATTCCCCCCAGAAAAGATCCAGGTGAAGAGAGGAGAAAAGTGCAAGAAGCAGTCCAACCAGGTAGAAATTGATCAAAGAAGCTCGGCTGTCACTGGCCTTGGGGAGTGACTCTCGAAATCTATCCACAGACTGCACGTGGCATCAGAGCA